ATCTGATCATCATCTAAGTCACAACAATAGACAATCACAGTCTGCTTAAACTAATAACACACAAAGAATGAAATGTTGCCATGTTTTTATTGTACACACCATGTAAACATTCATAGTGCAGGTGGAAAAAGTATGTGAACCCTTGGCTTTAATAACTGGTTGAACCTCCTTTGGCAGCAATAACTTCAACCAAACATTTCCTGTAGTTGCAGATCAGACGTGCACAACAGTCAGGAGTAATTCTTGACCATTCCTCTTTACAGAACTGTTTCAGTTCAGCAATATTCTTGGGATGTCTGGTGTGAATCGCTTTCTTGAGGTCATGCCACAGCATCTCAATCGGGTTGAGGTCAGGACTCTGACTGGGCCACTTCAGAAGGCATATTTTCTTCTGTTTAAACCATTCTGTTGTTGATTTACTTCTATGTTTTGGGTCATTGTCCTGTTGCAGCACCCATCTTCTGTTGAGCTTCAGCTGGTGGACAGATGGCCTTAAGTTCTCCTGCAAAATGTCTTGATAAACTTGGGAATTCATTTCTCCTTCGATGATAGCAATCCATGCAGGCCCTGATGCAGCAAAGCAGCCCCAAACCATGATGCCCCACCACCATACTTCACAGTTGGGATGAGGTTTTGATGTTGGTGTGATGTGCCTTTTTTTTTGTCACACATAGTGTTGTGTGTTTCTTCCAAACAAATCAACTTTGGTTTCATCTGTCCACAGAATATTTTGCCAGTACTGCTGTGGAACATCCAGGTGCTCTTGTGCAAACTGTAAACGTGCAGCAATGTTTTGTTTGGACAGCAGTGGATTCTTTTGTGGTATCCTCCCATGAAATCCATTCTTGTTTAGTGTTTTACGTATTGTAGATTCGCTAACAGGGATGTTAGCATTTGCCAGTTACTTTTGTAAGTCTTTAGTGGACACTCTAGGATTCTTCTTCACCTCATTGAGCAGTCTGCGCTGTGCTCTTGCAGTCATCTTTACAGGACGGCCACTCCTAGAGAGAGTAGCAGCAGTGCTGAACTTTCTCCATTTATAGACAATTTGTCTTACCGTGGACTGATAAACAGCAAGGAGATACTTTTATAACCCTTTCCAGCTTTATGAAAGTCAACAGTTCTTATTTGTAGGTCTTCTGAGAGCTCTTTTGTGCGAGTCATCATTTACATCAGGCAATTTATGTTGGTATTAGAGGGAGTACCAGTGAGGAATAGCACCCAGGTGGTTACTATCTCTTTTATTATATAGTCTCTTCATACCCTGTTTATTGTAGGAATAATATACTATGACATAGGGTAAATAACCTCCTTCCAATCATAACTAATATTTATAAATTTATTTATAAAATATTTTACCAGGATGGATACATTGAGATTTCTCTAATTTTCAAGTATGTCCTGAGTATATAGGAACTGGCTTGCTATTCAAATGCACGGAGGTGAAGTAATTACCTAAGCGGGGAGGGTGAAGCCCTGCTAAGTGCCAAGTGATGTTGAGAGGCGCCATCTATGATTGGGTCACTGAATGAACCACAATGTAGTGGTGGGATATAGGTCTCTCTGTGATGTAAAAGATACAAAACAGATGGCCCTGACAGTTTGAGGCCCTCTCTAACGACTCCTAGTTGAGTCTATGGAGGCTCTGACTATGAAGTGGCTAGGGGTTGCACCTCCGTGGTGAGGTGGGGGAAATAAATGAAAGGGGGTTGGTGCCTCAGATAGACTAACTGCTATTTAAATTGAAGCCAGTTCCTCTAAACCTGTTTGAGAAAGGAATGAATGTGGCTTGGTTTGGACATGTTGTACTTACCTGCTCATGAGGTAATATCGGGATATAAACTGGTCCGGGGGCAGCAAAGTATACCTATGGGGAGATATATGCAAGGGACTAGTGAATGCCTATACAATTGGAAGTTGAAATAAGCTACCTAATTTATGAAAGGTAAGTGCTTGCGATAGCCCCAAAAGGGGAAAGGAACTGACAGCATGCAGTAGAGTAGTTATTTAGGAAAACGCAAGTGTCCTTGTATACCTTAACAGTGTTGAAAAAGCAGGATAAGACACTAAGGTGTTTCCTGTTGTAGGTACGTTAACAGATACCGTTGAATGATCTAAAATGTAAAGCAAAGGACTAGTGTCAGTACCTGAGTACACAACTACATAACCAAAGGCGGGCAGGTAAATGAGCCGTTTCGGGTATGATGATGAAATAGAATTTATAAATGAGTGACTAAGTTAAGATATAACATAATGGGGATAGTGCAAGGTAACAATCCTAAGTGCGACTAGGGCAGGGTTATGTTATTTTGGTGGATACGAGAAAACATGACTGTGGGCCTAGCCCCAGGCCAAATATAAGACCATATATACCTGGAATGGGGTGCTTGCAGAAGCTAAGTAAGGCCTGTGAAGAGAGCCAACAGTAACAGAAGAGGATCAACAAGAGCTGGAAAACAGAAACATAATAGGCAGGCTTCAGGGGAGCCCTAGATAATAACCTGTATGTTTCATCTAAATATACTATGAACGTAAGGTACTATAGACATGTCTGACATACTTGGTGTGTTTGGAAGTTCTCTATATGTTAACGTGACCCCTAATGAGGCCATGTGGTTTGACCCCACACAATACAATACACCAGAATGAAAACTAAATGATAAAACATGAATATATAGTTGGTTAACGCCAAACAGCTTAAATAAGTGGGATTGCTAAGCTTGACGAGAGTGTGAGCACAACCAAGCTAGAGTAGTTGGAACTGAGCTGTGAACAGCCGCCCGAGAGGTCGGAGAAGTCGTGCGGCACCGGCCGCGAGAATACAGGTCTGACTGGATCCGGAAATAGGGGGATCCTCCAAGGCAATGCAATCAGGCGAAGACAGCTCTGAAGTGAGGGTCGGCTGGGTATTTAAGCCGGGTAACCCCTCCCACAAATACAGGCAATTAGTCTGAATACTTAAGATATTCCAACTTGCAACCCCAAACAAGAGGGGAAAGCAGTCAGAATGGCCTCTGTGTACCTGCCTCCCTAAAACAGAACTCAATTTCAGGCCAGGGCCCATAGTCATTGGGAAGGATGCTGACCTGCAGTCATCTACAAGTACCAAAGTAACAGAGGATTCTGTTACATACATGATACTAGGATTGATAAGGCCTTGGAGGACACCTATATGAAAATACTATTCTGAAGGCTCAGTGGCAGGCTTATGTATGATATGTCTGAGCATATATTGTAAATCCTCATTATTTTTTAGTCAGGTGTTAAAAAACAAACAAAAAAACAACTATTACAGTTTGTGAGCTTTGAAGTCAGTGTTTTGTGAGTGCATAGTTGCCAACATTTGAAAAAAATTTCCAGGGACAATTTGCAGCATAGCTATCAATTATTTCCTTGAAAATTTACCACACCCACTGCCTCAAAGCTCTACACACTTTGTCCAACCCACACAATTTATTTCCGCCTACTTATCAGTGCAGATTATAGGGTCTACTCAATAAAGAGAGAATTACAGGGAATTGAGATGGGAATTTCAAACTTAAGGGGAAAGTAGTCGAGTTGGAAAAAATCTCCCATTCTGCTGTGCAACTTTGGCCTGAAGTTTGAAATCCCTATCTTAATTCCCTCCAATTCTCTCTTTATTGGGGGGACCTTTATAACACCAATTTCCCACCAACAGTACCATACATCCTTGGTATGCGATAGATACATCTATATCAGGCAGGTGCATTTGATCATTTTAGGTGAGTTGGGTATCAGTGGTGACACTGTCAGTACAAGAACAAATATAGAAAGACCTTGTGCAGATGTGCTTCAGTCAGAGAGTTGTGTCTACACCATAGAACATACATTACATAATTACAAAAATGATTATATTGGGGATTGAATATAGTAAACAAAAAAAGTTGAAAAAAGGAAATTAAAGATATCAAAGGAGAATTTACAGAATGGAATTAATTAGAGAAATGGGAGCAAAAGGAAAACATATGCACATATTCCATTAGCTCCGTTCTATGCCACCAATTCAACATGTTGAAAGTCTCAGATTGAGACTTCCAGCACTACTCCACTTTTTCTGAAAAATTTTAGTTCCAGAAGTCTGCAGGTATTATTCATGCATTACACAGAGTGCAGCGCTATGCAGGGAGTACTGACTGTACCAGGATATTGTACACACAGACCTGCACTACACAGGAAGCACTGAGTCCCAGGATATTACACACAGACCTGTATTATACAAAGAGCAGCACATACATTGAGCAATGACTGTCCCTGGATATTATACACACAGACCTGTATTATATAGAGCAGCAGCACTACATTGAGCAATGACTGTCCCTGGATATTATACACACAGACCTGTATTATATAGAGAGAAGCACTATACAGGGAGCACTGACTGTCCCAGGATATTATACACAGACCTGTATTATACAGAGAGCAGCACTATACATGGTGCACTGACTGTCCTAGGATATTATACACACAGGCCTGTTTTATACAGAGACCAGCACTATACAGGGTATGTATATTTGTCTGTACTGTCCCTGGATATTATACACACAGACCTGTATTATATAGAGAGAAGCACTATACAGGGAGCACTGACTGTCCCAGGATATTATACACAGACCTGTATTATACAGAGAGCAGCACTATACATGGTGCACTGACTGTCCTAGGATATTATACACACAGGCCTGTTTTATACAGAGACCAGCACTATACAGGGAGCACTGACTGTCCCAGGATATTATAAACACAGACCTGTATTTTACATGTGTGGAAGTAGTGGGTAGTTGTGTGTAGTGCCCCTTTTCTTATACTCCCTTTACATGCCAATAATGCTACCTGAGACATAGTCGGTTAAAATAGGCTACAACATTTTTATTAAATTATTTCACCAAACAATATTACCAATACTTTGAATCAAATATATATAATCTTTAATAATTTGAACATCAAACAATATAACTTAATAAAGTATTTTTTCCTTGTGGCTGATGGGAGTCTGCTCCTTCTCCTCCCTTTCTTGAATTCACTCCCTCCCAGCCCTGTATATTTGACAAGTGCAGCGGCCCTTTAACAGCTGAAAATTCCCACTGGATAAACCTAAGTGAAGGACACCTGATCCCCCCTCCCCCAGCTTGCAAAACATGATGTTTTATAAATACAGCTGGAAATTAAGCCACTGAACTCACATAATGTAGCTTCAGTTGTTCTACATCCCGCAGTTTCTGTAAAAAATATATGCCTTTTAACTGTGGAGGATATATCCATTATCTGTCCACCACACATGATTTCCTGAATAGGAATCTTCCCTCATCCCACCCACCCCCCTCACTCCAACGCCCATGATCAGTGGTTAGAGACTGTGACAATTGGCTGTTCAGCTTTTTCTAAAATGTCTTGTGACTCTGATGCTTGTACAAGCTGATAATTCCCTGACTTTACTATTAACATTACTTAAAGTCATGATTCTATTAATGACACGGAGGCGAGTATTATGCATTCTCTTTCTTTTATTTTTCCTCAGCAGCAAGATAGAAAGAGAAAAAATGTATAATAACGTGAATGTATATGAATAACAAGATATATAAATATAAC